ACTTCACATCACCAAAAGAACACCATACCCACTGTGAAGCATGGTGGTGGCAGCATCATGTTTTGGGGCTGCTTTTCTTCAGCTGGAACTGGGGCCTTAGTCAAGGTAGAGGGAATTATGAACAGTTCCAAATACCAGTCAATATTGGCACAAAACCTTCAGGCTTCTTCTAGAAATCTGAACATGAAGAGGAACTTCATCTTTCAGCATAACGACCCAAAGCATACATCCAAATCCACAAAGGAATGGCTTCACCAGAAGAAGAGTAAAGTTTTAGAATGTCCCAGACAGAGCCCAGACCTGAATCCGATGGGAAATCTGTGGGGTTATCTGAAGAGAGCTGTGCACAGGAAATGCCCTCACAATCTGACAGATTTGGAATGCAAGGAAGAGCGGGCAAATAGTGCCAAGTCAAGATGTGCCATGCTGATAGATTCACCCAAAACAAATGAGTGCTGGAATCAAATCAAAAGGGGCTTCAACAAAGTATTAGTGTAAGGGTGTGCACACTTATGCAACCAGATTATTTAATTTTTTAATTTTTACTTCCCTCCACCTAAAAGATTTCAGTTTGTTGCTCAACTGAGTTGTATATTTTATAGGTTACATTAAAGGTGGAAAAAGTTCTGAAATTATTAATCTTTGTCTCATTTTTACATGCCAGAAACCTCACATTTTAACAGGGGTGTGTAGACTTTATGACAAAAGCCAAAATTCAAAAAACAAATTTAAATAAAATTCCACCACCATAAAAGCGCTCTTGCTTGCAGTAAAGTAATTCACAGATGTAATCACCGTCTCTGTAAGGGATTTCCGGCAAGAAGAATCGCGATCGGAAATGCGCATGCGCATAGGAAATCCCGCAAGAAGAATTGCCGGTTGTGCGCATGCGTGCAGGAATGCGCGATCGCGCATGTGCACACGCACAGTGAAGATTGGCGCCAGACAGCCTATTTAAGAAGTGCCTCTGCTCATGTTCAGTGCTGACTGGTCTTCAGCTCCCCCCCGTGTCCTGCTTGTTCCTGTACGATTCTTCCGTTACCGACCCGGCTTGTTCCTGACCCGACTTCGATTACTCTCCTGATACTGGTTCCTGACTTGGCTCTGCTCCTGACCTTGGTATTTCCTTCTGATCCTGTACCGCGCTGCCTGACTGTTGATGACCCTGGCTATCCCATGACACTGCTCCTGTGTTTTGTCCTCACTACCTGCTTTGCTCTGCTGCACGCCTGGCAATCTACAAAACCTGCTCTGCCTATTACTATGGTGCCCAAATCAGAGGATCATCAGCCTTCCAAGGTCATCATCTGCAAGAGCTGCAAACAACAAGCACTGGCGCTCTTGTCCCCCTGATCCCTAGACTCCCTCTGTTCCAACTTCAGCGGGGTCGGGGCTAGTGACACAAGTAAAGCCGACCTCGTCAATTCAGTCTCCCATCAGGTACGTGACAGTCTCCCTGTGAATTCAAAACTCACCAAAATTGATGGCTGCCACTACAACAGCAGGAACACCCTTGTACCTAAACAGAAATTCCAAAGGTGCACATGACTGGCAAATGACCACAGGTATCACTCTGCCTGGACGGGCTGTGATGAAATAAAGCTCACAAGGTGCAAATATGCCTACAATAATGTAGTATTTATTAAAAATACATATGTCAGTTTACATAGATGGCTGCTGCCGACCCGGAATCGCACATCAGCATGACGTGAGTAATGTACACTCCTCCCCAACGCGTTTCATCCAATAGGAAATTATCAAGGGGTATCGCAGTGTTGACGTCTCTCATATTTATATAGTATTGCATGTCCCCCTCTCTCCACAAACCAGTTAAGAAAACTAAACCGGAAATGACGGATCCACCATCTTGAAAGAACCAGAAATGGCGATAACGCCATCTTGGATTAGGTCCCAAGCAAATTTCCGACCCATAGACTCAGACCTGAGATATAGAAGGCTGAAAACGATGTAACCGCCATTATAAAAGAAGGTCAGGTGACAAATAAGAATTACTCAAATGACTAAAAAGGGGGGATATGATCTCCATGTATAATACATAAGGGGGGATGTGATCTCCATGTATAATACATAAGGGGGGATATGATCTCCATATATAATACATAAGGGGGGGATATGATCTCCATGTATAATACATAAGGGGGGGATATGATCTCCATGTATAATACATAAGGGGGGATATGATCTCCATGTATAATACATAAGGGGGGATATGATCTCCATGTATAATACATAAGGGGGGGATATGATCTCCATGTATAATACATAAGGGGGATATGATCACCATGTATAATACATAAGGGGGGATATGATCTCCATGTATAATACATAAGGGGGGGATATGATCACCATGTATAATACATAAGGGGGGGGATATGATCTCCATGTAAAATACATAAGGAGGGATATGATGATCACCATGTGTATAATACATAAGGGGGGATATGATCTCCATGTATAATACATAAGGGGGATATGATCTCCATGTATAATACATAAGGGGGGATGTGATCTCCATGTATAATACATAAGGGGGGATATGATCTCCATATATAATACATAAGGGGGGATATGATCTCCATGTATAATACATAAGGGGGGATATGATCTCCATGTATAATACATAAGGGGGGATATGATCTCCATGTATAATACATAAGGGGGGATATGATCGTATAATACATAAGGGGGGATATGATCACCATGTATAAATACATCAGTGGTTCATATAGTGAACTCGGTGTAGTTATTCCCCCTGAGGTCATCACAGAGGACAAGGGGGCACTCTTTACGTCTGGAGGAAAAGAAATTTAAACCCCAAGCACGGAAAGGTTTCTTCACAGTAAGAGCTGTGAAAATGTGGAATAGACTCCCTCAAGAGTTGGTTCTGGCCAGCTGAATGGATTGCTTCAAAAGTCCTGGATTCTTTCTTGGATACATAGAATATAACTGGATACTAACATTTATAGGTACAGTTGATCCAGGGAATATCAGATTGCCTCTCGGGGGATCAGGAAGGAATGGAATTCCCTGCAGGAGCAAATTGAATCATGCTTTGCTGGGTTTTTTTTTTTTGCCTTCCTCTGGATCAACTGTGGTTATAGGAATATATATATATATATATATATATATATATATATATATATATATATATATATATTATATATATATTTATTTATTTATTTTTTTTTTTAATGGTTGAATTGGATGGACTTTTGTCGTTCGGGAGCCAGAATAACTATGTAGCTAATGATCCCGTGGTGCAAGTGTAAGTAAATTACCCCAGTGCTTTGTGGAAAGTGGGACTTTCCTTTTTGAACAGGGCAGCCAGGAGTTGAGGAATCATCCAGTGGTTCAGTTCTACAGTTTATCGGAGTATCCCATACTCCCTATCCAAGTTCATTATGTCCCCCCCCAAAAAAAAGAAACAAACCTTTAGCCTGTTCTTTAAAGTCAGTGGAAGAGCGTAAAACATGAGTACCTGGCTGCATGTGCTTTAAGGGGGAAATAGGACTAAATTCACCAGTGATTCTTATGGGGGTGTCCTACACAAAAATAAGGACCATCAGACAAACACTGTCCAGAACTTCACAGTCCAGAAGTGGATGCCTCTATGTCACTCCAAGAAAGGATCAGATTCCTCTGAGGCCTAACTTCTCTCAGAGGACTAACTTCCCGGTTCAGTAGGACATCTTCCCCTGGCTCTCAACCTTGGGTGCTGTGTTAAGCAGAGCAGCTTCATGATCCTGTGCTAAGGTCAACAGGCTCCTGGCCTATCCAAATATAAATGCCCAGTTGGGCTCATTGGGGCTTTTAATGGGCTAAGCACCCTCATTTTTCCAATTGGTGCAGTTCTAGGGTGCTCTGTGACATATCTACCTTTGCAGGTTGACTGTCAGAAACCAAAATATGAATTAGGTAAGTATATCTCTGTTCTCTGTTCCCCTAGAAAAAACAAGCAGTTAACCCGCACAGCATCACTGCATGGGAAAACATTTTTCCTGTCTGGAGTTAGGCTTTAACAACCACACACCGAACATACACGTCCATAGGTGGCAGTGCTAGCTGCTCACTTCTAGCACATAGACTGAGATGTTAAAGACTGCTCCCGGTCTCTAGTAATGGCTGTCAGGGCTCCCGGGTATGACCAGAGGTATGTGAACTGACGCAGGGAAACGCAGGCTTCAGATGTGTTATAAACAATATAATTTATTAACACTAACAATACAAACATAAACGCAGTGCAATGCTAAAACATAACACAGTGCAAACCAACCAAACCACCCACAGATAACAGTACATACAATGCAAGCGTCGTCAGGCAGGCCGGGTCAATAACAATCGGGCAGGTAGGAACAGGAGGAGCAGGCAGAGAGTAGTCAGGTCACGAGCCGGGTACAGCAACTAACAGGTAGGTAGGTACAGGGGGTCAGGCAGAGAATGGTCGGAGTCACAAGCCAGGGATCAAACAGGAGAAGTCAGCAGAGGTCCGGACCGGCAGGGTCAGCAACGAATCAGTCAGACAGGAACAGGAAAAGGAACAGGAATGCAGGTAACAAGATACAGGGGCCCATAGGAAAAACACACACCAAGGTCCAGACTGCAGGTCTGGCCATCCCTTAAATACACCTGTAATCAGCCTCAGGTGTTTTGGCTGACTCCAGGGTTGAGTCTCTGATTGCTGAGAGCACCCGCTGGCCAGCCCTGGTACTGCAGCCCACAAGGCAGGTGAGTCCCACCATTACTGGCAAGTCCATTCCTGACAATGGCTCACAATCATTTGACCACAGTAACATCCAATTACAGTGGTCAAGAGATCAGAAAGATCTTTCCACCCTCCAATTAGAGGGACCCTGGGGTTGGGCATAAAGGTGGGTGCTGTATCTCTTAAAGAGCCCATATATACTGTATATATTACTGTAGCTGCTGACTTTTAAAGTTTTACTCAGGCCAGGACCCTATATTCACTATATCTGCTCTCCCCGGACCCTGCATTCACTATATCTGGTCTCCCCGGACCCTGCATTAACTATATCTGATCTCCCCGGACCCTGCATTCACTATATCCGCTCTCCCGGACCCTGCATTCACTATATCTGGTCTCCCCGGACCCTGCATTCACTATATCTGGTCTCACCGGACCCTGCATTAACTATATCTGGTCTCCCCGGACCCTGCATTAACTATATCTAGTCTCCCCGGACCCTGCATTAACTATATCTGATCTCCCCGGACCCTGCATTCACTATATCCGGTCTCCCAGGACCCTGCATTCACTATATCCCCTGCATCTCCCAGGACCCTGCATTCACTATATCCGGTCTCCCCGGACCCTGCATTCACTATATACGTTCTCCCTATATCGGACCCTGGACCCTGCATTCATTCACTATATCACTATATCCGCTCTCCCCAGACCCTGCATTCACTATATCCGCTCCCCCAGGCCCTGCATTCACTATATCTGCTCTCTCCAGACCCTGCATTCACTATATCTATATGCATTCACTATATCCGGTCTCCCCGGACCCTGCATTCACTATATCTGGTCTCCCCGGACCCTGCATTAACTATATCTGGTCTCCCCGGACCCTGCATTCACTATATCTGGTCTCCCCGGACCCTGCATTCACTATATCTGGTCTCCCCCAGACCCTGCATTCACTATATCTGGTCTCCCCGGACCCTGCATTCACTATATCTGGTCTCCCCGGACCCTGCATTCACTATATCCGGTCTCCCAGGACCCTGCATTCACTATATCTGGTCTCCCCAGGACCCTGCATTCACTATATCTGGTCTCCCCAGATCCTGCCTTCACTATATCTGGTCTCCCCAGGACCCTGCATTCACTATATCTGGTCTCCCATAGTACACGGAACATGGAAATGCAATTATTTTAGTAAATATAAACTTGCTAAATACCTTTTCTCATCAGCAGTATATAGCAGTCTTGTGGCTTCCATCAGTGCCCAGCAGAGCACTGGTTAAAGCTTGTAGGAGGAGATTTCATTCTTCTCTGACTGTCATATGAGGCTTCAAAACCCTTGACCATCTGTCTGGACAGTGCTGATTGGTCCTGTGCTGATCACATGCACCCTCCCAAAGAAAAAAACACTCTCTAGCAATAAACACTAAACTGAGCATGTGCAGAGTGCCTCTTAGAGCTCTGTACTATCAGCAGATGGATTGGGGGCAGTAGAAGGGGAGGATCAGAGAAGACAGGATCAAACATCCTTTTTACCCAATGCGGAGGATTAACCCCTTAGGTCCCACAGTGAGTATAACAAGCATGCTTTACTGCATCTACAGACTGATTGTAATGTTGTGGGTCTAGTAACACTTTAAGAAACAGACTTCTATCCACCCAAGGAGTACAGTGCTCTCTTCCTCTTAGCAGATTATTTGCCACACTTCCACTCTCCATCTTGGGTTTGGAAGATGGTTGTGACTTCTTGATGTCTTACAGCCCAGCCAGCTCCCCACTGCGCATGCGTGAGGCGCTGCAATGCTGTGGAAAGGGTCACGCTGCCTCCAGGGACATATGACATGATGGGGGCAGCCAGGGCCGAGGATAAAGGGGTACCACCGGTCCTCCTGTATGGGCCCAGGCAAGCAGAGGGGGGCAGGCAGCTGGGTAAATCAGATGTGTGTAGGGAGGGTGAGCAGCACGGTGCAAATGCAATTACTGGAACCGATCCCCTGTATGGCTCTCTCTGCAGCAGCTGAAAACTGGCTGCATCTCCTCTCCTTCCCGCTAGTATTCAGCTGCTGTAGAGAGTGAGAGAGACATACAGGGGATCAGTTCCAGTAGTTGCCTCCTTCTGCCGCACCCATCACCTCCCTGTGCACCATACACTGTTGCCCAGGCCCCTCTGTGTGCCCACCCCCACAGTACTCCTTGGTTCCCTCCTCTCCTTCCCACCGGTAACTGCAAGCACACAATAGGATCCTTCAGGATGATGAACACAACAAGGGATCGGTACCTATTACTCACTGTGTTCATTCATAACTGAATCATAGTAAACTGTGTTTTTTTTTGGGGGGGGGGGGGCTGTCAGGTTTGTTGTATGGGGCCCAATGGTCAGGGGCGTCCCTAGGGTTGGTGTCACCTGGTGCAATAACACTTGGTGACACCCCCCCGACGATCCCCACAGAATGGATCGGATCTGCGGATTGAGCATAATGAATCGGACTCCGATCCATTATGCTCAATCCACAGATCCGATCCATCCTGCAGGGATCGTCAGCTTGCTTTACAACCAGGGGCGGACTGACCATTCGAGCACTCAGGAATTGCCCGAGGGCCCAGGGTCAGTAGGGGGCCCCGGTATCTTTTTATAGGCTTTTTTGGGGTGTACTTTGAGCATGGGCAAGGACACAGGGCCCCCCTGATCCCCTATTGCCCGGGGGCCCCATGAGTTGTCAGTCCGCCCCTGTTTACAACTTACCTCCATTATGCTCAATCCGCAGATCCGATCCATCCTGCGGGGATCGTCGGCTTTCTTTACAACCTACCTTTTCGTGGAGCGGGTCCGGTGTCACCCCGTGTGGTAGGTGTCACCTGGTGCGGCGCGCACCCCCCCCGCACCTGCCTAGGGACGTCACTGCCCATGGTTCCTAACAGCATCCCTGTCGGCAGCAGCCCAAGTGAATGTTATTCTTGCCTAGGTGAGAATTGAGGAAATCAAAAAGGGAATTTACACCCCCCCCCCCCCCAGGAAAAAAAGAACACTTGCGAATGTGTCAGAAGTTTGTGGGGGGGGGGGGGGGGTTGAGCAGTACTTTCACTTTTTCTTTTTCTGTTGTCATAGAATGGAGACAAAAGTGGCAAACCTTGCATTATCTTGGATGATATTGTGGGTTTTGTTCTCTCTCTGTCTTTGAGTTCCTTTACACCTTTATACGGAGTTGAAGCATTTTATGGTGATTGATTTTGTGGCTACTGAGCAGCGGCACAAGTGAGTATTAAGTGCCCTCCAGCAACTGTAGTCGACACTCATTTTTTAGTGCTCTGTAAAAGAGACAAATACGACCTGACACTAAATATTACTAATAAAGCAATTACAGCATGATAGCCTGTTCTCGGGTTAAGTTATGTTCTTGAGAAAATACAGGTGGTGCCATTGATGTGTTTTCCACTATTTATGTAATTGCAACAGAAAAATCCAAAAGTGAAGCCGTCACAACCGAAATTGTATCAGGGCTTCCATCTGTCTGGAATTTTAAACCCTTGTCTGGCTCTTCAGACTCCATGTGGAGGGTCTTGTATGGACACTCCGCATAGCAAACCAGCCTCCCCTTCCACGGCGCCCACTCTGCACTCTTCATGGACCTTCCTGGACCTGCTCTATGTTTTAGGATCACCCCCAGTGGTGTATTTAGGTTTTGTGCTGTCCTAGGCAACAGAAAATCTCCCCCCATCTCTGGAGAGATCCTGACAGCAACCAACACCCCCCCCCCCCCCCCCCCCCCCCCCGTGAAGGGAGCCTGATGTTGACCAACACCCCTGTCTCCCCCACCTGAGAGAGTCTTCCACTACCATCACTGCCCGTACACCAGCCATTCCCCTCCTGGTGAGAGAAAGACACTCACCTTCACAGCTCTGGACATCCCCGGGAACAAGAGTCAAGCAGCCCACAGCCTCTTTCAGATCCCACCTGGTCCCTATGCTACATGTGTCCCTTCTTCCATCCCTGCTGCCCCCCTGAAATATGCTGCCCTAGGCAAATGCCTTGTTTGCATTGTGGTAAATACTCCCCTGATCACCCCAGGAAGCTCGTTGCAAAGTGAAGCCATCAAATAGAATAAAAGTGATACTCGTGAACTAAAATGTGATATTCTCTTAGTGCAGTGTTTCTCAACTCCAGTCCTCATGGACCCCCAACAGGTCATGTTTTCAGGATTTCCATTATTTTGCACAGGTGATTTGATCAGTTTCACTGCCTTAGTAATTACCACAGCTGTTTCATCTGAGGGAAATCCTGAAAACATGACCTGTTGGGTGTCCATGAGGACTGGAGTTGAGAAACACTGTCTTAGTGCAACAATCTTATAAAATTATGAAATTTGACAAATATCAAATTAATTTGTGATGCATCAACACTGAACTCATAATTTGTGTGAAAAAAATCAAAATTATATCTAAGTGTGTCGCGCTTCACAATATATATTAAATCAATAATACACATATCACTTAAGATGATATAAACGTGAAAAAACCACGTGCTTCAAACAGTGCAATATCCTGTGCAGCAAAACATAAATATAAAAAAAATATAAAAAAAATATGTGCACGATCATAAATTAATATAAAGTCCACTTTGTGCTTCAAATCTTGCCAGGGCCAATAGATGTGCAGTGCAACACTCCCAGTGCTAAAGAATAGGTGTACCCTCACCTTACCGATTAGCCAAACTAAGTGGCTAATATCGCTTTTGTCCCATCAGGACTAAATGGTCTCCCCACTCCTTTCTATCCACACTGAGCCTTGGTGGATGGATGGGGCAAAACTGTATACTGCTTCCACCTCCCAATAATGGGGGATACCATAGAAAAGGAAGTAACAATTGTGCCTTATCCTTTTTAAAATTTAGGTGCTTTTATTAAGAAGAAAATTCGCACTTACACATTACAGTGCTATTACAGACGATTGAACTGTGCCCAGATCCTCAGTTTGTACTTGCAGCTTCTCCACATCAATTGATTCTCCCTGATGAAGCCACGTGACCCTGTGGCGTAACGCGTAGGGGAGGGGCTCTGACGTCACGATGCTGATGTGGATAAGCGGCAAGTATAAACTGAGGATTTGAGGGAGGGAGACCCCTGGTGGGAGGAAGTTGGTAACACAAGCCTATCCATTCGAATGTGGAAATAAGCACCCAGCATGGAAAATACCATTTAGTCCTGATGGGACAAAAGCGATATTAGCCACTTAGTTTGGCTAATCGGTAAGGTGAGCGTTCATCTATTCTTTAGCACTGGGAGTGTTGCACTGCACATCTATTGGCACTGGCAAGATTTGAAGCACAAAGTGGACTTTATAATAATTTATGATTGTGCACATATATTTTTTTATATTTTTTATATTTATGTTTTGCTGCACAGGATATTGCACTGTTTGAAGCACGTGGTTTTTTCACGTTTATATCATCTTAAGTCATATGTGTATTATTAATTTAATATATACTGTGAAGCGCGACACACTTAGATATAATTTTGAAGCCATCAAATAGGCTGCATTCATGAATACATTGTTACAGTTGTTACAATGTATTTTGTTAAGTGCTTATATGCAAACCAAAGGCTTGTGCTTTGTTCTGCACTTAGCAAAGCTGCAAGTGTTAAAAAAAGAAAGTTTTGTTTCTTTTCTCTTAATAATAAAAAAATAATTCTATGTATATTATTAACCACTTCAAGTCCGGACACTTTCAGCCCCTTCCATTTCAGGCCAATTTTCAGCTTTCAGTGCTATCACACTTTGAATGACAATTGCGCGGTCATGCAACACTGTACCCCTTTTTTTGAGACAGATAAAACTTTATTTGGGTGGTATTTATTCACCTTGGGATTTTTATATTTTTGCTATATAAATGAAAAAGTCCAAAAATTATGAAAAAAAAGTGTTTTTTGTTACAAAATTTTGCAAATAAATAATCTTTCTTCATAAATCTTGGCCAAAATGTATTCATCTATATTTTTAGTAATAAAAAAAATAACCCAAATTAGTTTATAACCAAACATTTTAATTTTTCAAAATTGTTTTTTACATTTTTATTTAATTTTTTCTATATTATTATTTATGGTTTTTTTTAACATGCTGTCATCCTAGCAGTAT